AGTCAATGTACATGTATACTGATAGTCTGGTACTTGTACACGCACTACATGTATGCGTTCTAGCTTCGGCCATCTCGACTTGTTTTCATTTTTCATTGTAGTCATCGGAATCTAAACTGCGGAATGCTTGGTAATCCTGTCCCTACAGTGCTGTAGGCATGTACGGAAATACACCTAAATTGTGAAGGTTTCAGTGTACTGTACCTTGTAAGCTCTGGACAAGCAGAGTGTCTGGTCCCTGTTTGGCTCTGCTGGGATTCCAGAGAAGGAGGCCCTGCAGACTTCTCCAGGTAATAAAAAAAGTGGAAATGAAGACTGAAATGGAAACTGCAAGAAGTGTTGAAGTACACATTACAAGTATTCCTGAAGGTTTGAGTGACATGCATGCTGTCAGTTTGTTGGGTTTCGTTAATATACGGTACTGTTACCTCATGTACATGTAGGCTACATGTACCGAATGTGTGCCTGTAGGTTACACTTGAGTCGTTTTGAAATCTAGGCAAGAAACAAAAGCATTTTGGTTAAAAATGCATCTTGTATTCAATCAAATGGAAGGTCAAATTATTCAAGTGCCGAATTATTCAAATCGACTCACCCTACCCGGAATGGAATTGACGTGGAGATGAGAATGGATTTGCCCAAAGAATGGAAGGTTTAACCCTAAAACTAGTAAAAAGAGCCGGGTTATTTTGGTCCTCCTCACAGCGCGGTGGGGGGTGAATTCTGTCCCCTCGGGTCCCCTCCCCCCAGAACTCAGCTGTGCTGTGGTCGATTTTTTGAAACTTCAGGCATGTACCAGTACAGCCATTCCTGATTAAAAATTTGAAATTTTATGTCCATCACACAAATGGTTTTGTTGTTACGGTCACTTGAAGTTCAAAGCAAAACGGGTGCCAGCCCACATGCATTGAGCACCACAGCAGAAAAAGTATGCATGTACATTCTCAGGAAAATTGGCACTATACTAGAATAGTTAGGTCAATTTTCATGAAGTTGGTATCAAAATGACCGCGCAGAGTTGCTCTAAAAACTCCTAAAGGCTCAGCTCCTGGAAAAAAATGCACTGCGGAGATGTCAGAAAAAGTGTTGAAGGGGTGGGCAGCTCTTTTAGGGTTTAAACAAAATAATGGTACCATTGCAGAGGTCATCGAGCAGTTATCATCTGTACATGTACATGTACCTGTATGTGAACAGTGCGTTTCACAGTGGAGTAGCATCCACCTTAAACTTGTTTAATGTTTGCCATGATGTGGGCGCAAGATGGCAAACCTAATCAAAGGCCGTGGTTGGTGCGTGTACACATTACGTACGTACTTCAGGGGTGAAGAAAATTCTACTTGGCAGTCTGCCTGGGAGTAATTGGATTTTGTACTCTGGATTCGTGCACTGTGTGCAGTATCCATGCACCGCTTTGGTGCCTACTAATGAAACGATTGGCCTCCTTTTTTTTCTCCCTTCTGGTCCGGGGGGGGGGGCGGGCGGCTGATCAAATTTATGACCCATTAAAGCTGGCTCTGGCTGTGTCTTTAATGTATTAACCCCAATCAGCTTCTACAGCAATCAGACACACCTGTAGGTGATAACAGACCAGAATGTACATGTAGCAAGAAATACCAAAACCTTTTCTGAACAGGATTGCTGAAGTGCACCTGCTGAGAGAAGTGTGTTTCACTATTCGAATGATCTGGACAAAATCATAAATCAAATGTGTGCGTGTGTATAAATCATGTTACTCTTTTTTGTTCCAGTTTTCTGCCTTTTCCCGCATGCAGTTCCACGGCTGTGTTGCTAATTTTGGTTCTACATGTAGGTTGTTAAATCGTGTTTGTTTGTAATGTATTTTTCCATTTGAGCATATACAGTACAAAAGTTGTCGGGAGCATGCGATACAAGCCTGTTTTGATAACGTCACATTGCGGCTCTGCAATTATATGACTATTTCATTATTTTTGGGCGAACGCTCCTGCGTGTGTGAGCACTGTGCTTGCTCGCACTTAGCTGTGATTTAAAAGAGGTTGGACAGTTAGATCGACAATGTTGATCAATACATGATCATATGATGAAGTTGAACCATTCCAATTTGATCTAGAGTAAGGTCCTGATGAATTTGAGGCAGATGGCTGTGGTCATTTACTGAGAAAGACATCTAACTTACATGTACTTCACCCGTTTTTCTCTGTTCTTGTGCTATAAAGCCACCTATTGCGGCCGCAAGGTCAAGGAACTCTTGGGGAACGAGAGCCGTATCATGACATCGTCAAATCACTAGACTTGTTTGCCGCTCTCATCGATGTATTTTTTTTTTGACTCTGAGCATTCTCGCGGTGGAACTGAACTCCCAAATGGATGATTTTTTTTTAATAAATGTGAAGAGGAGCTGCCACGTTAGTCATGATACGGGTCAAAATGACCAGTTCCTTGTTAAATAACCATTTTACGTCAAAGCAATGTGATTGATCTTGTATGTACATTTACAATTGCTCACACCATGTGGTACCTGTATAAGTACTCCGTACAAGAGACAGAGTACCGGTATGTACTGATAATCACTGTACAAGTTTAACTTTCTCTGCTGACGTAGATTAGTTGTGAAATATGGAAGGGCTGCGTAGCACCGTGATCAGAATATCGACAAGAATATAAGATTAAATCAGTGCTCTGAACTATATGATTGCCGAGCTTTCGGTAACTGAGTACCTTCTTCAGGGCAAGCAGATTCAGTTGTAGAACTGTTCTAGTGTCTATTTAAAGTTATTTTGCTTTTCCCTTCCATTTCTGTCTATAAAAAGACTTAAGTACGAGGCTGTAAAATTCAACTGAAAAGCCAGAGGTAGTCACTAAAATCAGTGAGGTGGGCTGCCTCAGTTGAATTGGCAGCCAAGGGGAAACCCTGCCTGAGTCTTAAAAATAGATGTACATGTAATCACACCTGGGGCCAATTTTATGGATCTGCTGAAGCACAAAATTTGCTTAAGCGTGACAAAACCGTGCTTGACAAATCAGGTTACCAGCTAAATCTCTATGTTATGTACATGTATGTATGTTGTTTTCGAATGTATTCACCTGTCTTTTGGTTAGCATGACAATCACATAGATTTTGAGCTGGTAACCTTTGTTTTTTAAGCAAGGTTTTTTTTGCGCTTAAGCAAATTTTGTGCTTAAGCAGCTCTGTGAAATTGGCCTCGTGTACAAAATGTACCATAGCTTGTAGATTAGTTGGTGATTGCATCTATCATATGCAGTGGGTGTTGTGTATAGCCCTTGGATGTCTTTTTAGTGTTTTAGAAATGCCGTAATTTGTCAAAAATTGAAGCTCCTCTTAGATGCATGTATACTGTACAACGTTGTCATTTGAAAAGCATTTCTGTATCCAAAACTTTCTGTTTGAAGTCACGGTTTTACATTTCAGAAAAAAAAAATGCTCCAAAGCGCTTCTTTTGCCACAAGAATAAATCAAATGGCATGTTGGAAAGGTTACCTGTGGTCAATGGAGCGAGAGTGCTGCCTTGCTAATGCTCTGGTGCGAATCAGTGTGATTATTATCGCAGGGTTTTGTAATTCCCTTTGGATGAATGGCAAATGAATAGAAAAAGGGTTTGTGAGCTCTCTGGTGAGTGGGTCGGGAGAATTGCCCGAAAAGAACAGTGTGCCGGCTTTTTGACTGTGATGAATTCACATACTGTACGTGTACCCCACACCCACAGTAGATCCATCATCACGAGTTGTCTGTTATTTTTTTCAGCCCCTTTTGGTTTTTATTGTGAAGGGGAATGCAATGATAGAATTCACCTGCCAAATTCAGCTTGTTTGCATGTATGCACCTGAGTGTTGTTGGACTGCAAGTTATAATAAATTGACAAGAACTTACGTCTGGTTGGTGTATACAGACATTGCACTTGTACTGGTACATGTACATGAATGACCTAAATGTACATGCTGAGTATTATTTACATTGTAGGCCTACATGTGTGATGTACATTTATACTTATGGACATACATGTAGTTTTATTTCCACGGATTTGACAAGAGAAATACAATAAGTACTGTTTGAAACAAAGATACATGAATGATGCAAAGTGTACGGTATGTGAAAATTTTTCAAGTCACGATCCTGATGTACATGTACTGTTCATGTGCATTTTGACTTGAGAAACTACAAGTAACACAGTTTTTTCTGATGTACATGTAACATGAACTACATGTACTTATGTAAATACATTGTGTGGCCCTAATACGGGCATACAGACGCTGCACAGACACAAAGCCATACATATATCAGGTTCCATGCACTTGCGTATATGTACATGTTCATCTACTGTACGGTATACATGTACATGTATGTACCTTCATGTCAGTTAGGTTTTCTCAAATGATGAAATTCAGTTGGTGTTTACGTACCGTACATGTACTTGTTTGATGCCGGATCATGTATACTTACATGTACAGCTTGTGCTGTAGAAGCATACCAGTATGTCTGATCAGTATTTCTCAAGAGAATTCTTTTATTTTTTTTCCCATCTTACAGATCATTAACATTCAGGACATCATCCATGCGGACAGTATTGAGGAACTGAAAGATGTGTATCCTTTCCACATTCATCTCTCTCTCTCTCTCTCGGATATTCTGAAGGGAAATCATGCTGCATTTGCATGTACCGATACATGTCTACGTACAAATGTACATGTACGTCACTTGCTCTCCATTTAGGTGCACAAGTGACGACAGTAGCCTGCGTCAGGTGCATCATGAGTGCTTGCGCTGACTCTGAGCCGCTGCGGATGGAGTGGAATGCTTTCACACATCGGGTGACGCCCTGATGGGATTGGAAAAATTGCCTTGTGTTTGGGTCCCACTTGTAGGTATAGCAATCGTGTAATGAAGGGAAGGAGGGGGTTGCCCCTCCCCCGAACATGTCTTTGTACCTCCCATTCCCCAGTGCTTCCTCCCCTGTTTGAATTATTGAAATGAGCATACAGACTGAGTGGGTTTGCGTTTTTGTATCTCTTTCAAAAAAAAAGGTGACGTCCTTCCCCTCTCCCTCCCCCCCCGGGTGCCTAAACCCCAAACCTTCCTTTTCCCTCAGATTTTATTCCAGTTAAGCCTCTTGGGCAGAGATCGGGGAATTTTTCAACCAGTATGTCTTTTTGCATATCCTGCACCTTGGTAAAAAGGAAGCGTGTTCATGTTGGTGGGTTGGATTAAAGCACTGTAGGTACCATACATGTACATGTTGGTAATGCTGAAGGGAGGGAGTGTCACCTTCACAAAGTGAAGGGGGGAGGGAGTCAGAATCAAGACCAGCCTGTCTGTGTTGACACGGTGAGGGGGGTCCTCGTGCACCGAGCTCAGTCTAACTCTACCTAGTGTAACAGCCTTCCTTTCCTTAACGCCTCCTCGGTCAACCAGCTACATCGTGCAGAGTCTCATGGAGACGGACCTGTACAAACTCCTCAAGACACAGAGGCTGAGCAACGACCACATATGTTACTTCCTCTACCAGATCCTGAGAGGCTTAAAGTACATTCACTCGGCCAACGTGCTCCACCGGGACCTCAAACCCAGCAACCTGCTACTGAACACCACATGCGATCTTAAGGTGAGGAAAGGGGAGGAGATTCTGTTCTGGCTTCTTATGGAAGCGTTGTTAACCTGTGGCTTTGTAAACGTACCTGTTGTTAGGCACCGTCGATATCGCAGTTTGGCCGATACTTATGTATCGTTTTTTATATATCGATATTATCGATATATCAAATTGTATTCATTTTAATTTTCAAGGTATTATAACAGGCGTGAATTGCTGGTAAATTGTTCCAAGGGTACACCCTACACCTTAATGGTGTGATCCAATTCACTGCCGATGGGATATACGCTGCCATGCATAGCGATATCATCAGCATGCAGTGCTAGTTTACGTACGTTTGGTTAGGAAGTAATTACCTGTTTTGGAGGATAAATTTTGTTATAGTTTCGAGGCAAAGTGCATGCTAAGTATTGAGTGCGAGACTAAGGTAAGTGACTGAATTTATCCTTCAAATGTCGCCGTATAAGCTGCCCAGAGTATAAGCTACAGGGCCATTTTTCACTCAGTGTGAGAACCAACGTAAGCCGTGACTTATCGGAATTACGGTAATTTGACGATGATCATTCCTCAGTAGTGATATTTTTGATATATTTCTCAATATTGATGTTTTCAAAGTTTTGAAATTTTCGATATTTCACCAAATCCACTACTTTCGATATGTTGATTGCCAAATGACTAACATCAGCAATATCAATAGCAAACCCATATTGATAATATTGATATATCGATATATCGACATTGCTTACCTGTTGTGATCAAGTCTGAACACAGCCTCAATGCAGCTTCGTCTAAATTACATAGCCGTGACTGGAAATTCATGTAACACATACATGTACGTGTATGGAAACTCAGCTGTTGCCAAGCAAATCAGACTTTGCCCGTCTCTCACTCTCACAGTAGTTTCCAAATACTGCGCCGCACGTTCACATGACCTCAGATGACTAGGTCGGCTTATCCATAGACTAATCTAATGCAGTTCTGTTATTTTGGTGGAACTTAACTCGTGCGTGACATTTCTTGAGTTGGTTCAATACATATTCAGTACATGCATACCACTTCCATGCGGGCTTTGTGTCACTGTAGTTTATTGGCTTCTACTTGTTGCTGGATCAGCCTATGAACACATTGGTGTCGTGTTGTGTGGATGGCTCTGTCATCAAGGTGCACATTCGAGAAGCCTTACTCTCCATGAAGGTAAGACGGCATTGTTAACACCATTCACTGCTTTTTCGTTCCCAGATCTGTGATTTTGGCTTAGCCCGAATTGCCGATCCAGTCCACGACCACACAGGGTTCCTAACAGAGTACGTGGCGACACGCTGGTATCGCGCTCCAGAGATTATGCTTAACTCCAAAGGGTACAACAAGAGCATCGACATGTGGTCCGTGGGTTGCATTCTAGCCGAGATGTTCAACAGTAAACCCATCTTCCCTGGAAAACATTGTATCCTTTCCCGAAGAGAAACCCCCAAACCACAAAACTAAATCCAACAAAGCAGTGTTTGTACACGATGAGGAAGGGTACTTGTACACATCTCTTATTTCCAATAATTTCTAAGGGGAACACAACCAATTTGAATTTTGTATAATCGTAGAATGGCAATAAAATGAAGGAAGAAGTACCAGTTTGCAATCTGGGTAATGTATTTTTGGAGGATTTTAAAAAAGTTTATCTTTAATTAAGATTTCACGTACCAATTTATACAGAACTGCATAACGTAATTCTGCTAAACAAAGAAAGTGCTTGCTCACCAAACACAGGGTACTGCTCAAAGGGCCATAAGCTGTTAATTTTTTTGTGGTTGATTTCCAGCTTACCAAATGAATTTGCTCAGCCATATTACCTGCTGTAATAGCTTCATGAAAAGCTCTCGATTCAGTTCAGTGACCTCAGAAGTATATGTGTCATACCAGTGATCTGTTAAGTTAGAATAACGTCTTTAGCCCAGATTTCATTGAATACTTTTTTCATAATGAAAGAAAAGGCTTTACCCCACAAGAAAAGAAGGAACCAAAAAAAGGGGGGGGGGAATCGAAACACAAACTGCAGGTTAAGTTATGCTGCCTGTTGTCCATCTGTCTTGCTCTCTGGCCATCTCTTTAACTCTCGTGTCGTCCTCAGATCTAGATCAGTTGAATCACATTTTGAATGTCCTGGGCTCACCGTCCTCTGAAGATCTGGACTGCATCCTGAACGGGAAGGCACGCAGCTACCTGCAGTCCCTTCCCTTCAAGGCCACCGTGCCCTGGTCACGGATGTACCCACAAGCCGATGCCAAGGGTAAGGCAGTCTCTTGGAGGGTTTTATCCCACTTTCGTTTTTGTTGGGGTCTGCTTTAACCCCCCCCCTAATCTGAGAGTCATCCTTGTGCCCTTGTCTCAGTGTAAGTGCCCAGTCGATTTGTTGGTGAAAAAAACAAGAAAAGAGGGATTTATTGTTCGGTGGCTGTTAGATACGAGGGCAGAAAAGGACTGGAGATAGTTGCTGATTGGTTAGCAGTCAGTATTTAGATGTCATAATGCCCTAAAATGAGGGATAAGTGGTTACTGTGGGTAGCCATGTCGACTAGAAGAATCCTTTACTGACAAGGAAGAAACAGGCTGGTGGGACAACTTTCAACTTGGTGTATGTTCGCACGCGAACACGGTACGTGTACGTTTAAACAGAAATGCTTTGGGCATGCTCAGTGTGTCACGTACTAAGAAAACAGGGATCTGTGCCTGCATGTGGTGTTTCCCGCCAGAGGCACGTTGTGCCGGAGGAAAAACATGGTGTCTCTTGTTCCTGCACAGAGCAATATCCATGGTTTCACGAGGCTGCAGATTTGAGTTTCTAGCATTAAGGTAATGGTTGAAAGCAGGAATGAAGGAGGACAGGACGAACTGAACTCAGTTTTCCCGAAGTTTTCAGCCCAGATGGCTGGTACCTGTAATTAGCTTTGTCTTGTTTACACCATGACCACAAATACATTTCCCATGGGTGGAGTTAGACACACAAAGCGGCTTGACATGGCAGCTGCTGTTTGATCAAGGTCAGATGAGCTGTCACACTTAAAAGCAAGGCTGAGATTTGTCAGGAGTTTTCCTGATTTCAGGGATTTTTCATCGGCATTTTCCTGATTTTTGGATTTTTCAAACAGTGTACTTCGAACTTTGGACAATCCTGAGTTTACCAATAAGAATCCTGAGTTTACCAATAAGGTGTTTTTACCTGTTAAAGTTGATATACAATTTAGAGCACAAGAAATGGATATTGTAAGGGGTGCCATTAGGCAAACACAAATGTCTACCATAGATCCTACCTTGCTGTGGGGCATTTGAAACCGCTGGTGATTGTTTGGTGGATACTTACATTTTCTTCCAATCTCGCTCCTGGTAAAGTGTGAGCTAGTATGTAAATAGTCGGAAAATGTCTAATGTCCAATCATGCACCCTCTGCATTTCATACTCAAAGGTAGAAGTCCAGATTTCACAATTTGCCTATGAAAAATGCTTTTCATTAAATCATCAGCTCTGGATCTGCTCGACAAGATGTTGACATTCAACCCAGACAAGAGAATAACGGTGGAGGACGCATTGAAGCATCCCTACTTAGAACAGTATCATGATCCCTCCGATGAGGTACGTTTGAGTGGGCGTGGCTACGAGGGTTGGGTCAGGGAGGGGGTAATGGCCGAGCCACCCAAAACTCTTGATGTTCATAAATAAGACTTGAAGCTTTGCATGGTGGAGACATAGACTGGTAAGGTTTGCATTTATGGCATGGAGGAATAAATCTGAAGAGACACAGGTCTGTTAAGAGCCAGTGGCTTGGGATCGATAATTCTTTGATCGGTAGCCTGTGGTAGTTTTCAGTAGAAATATCAGACTGTGTAAAACTTTTCCAGAACTGTGCTTGTTTAATTGAACAACACCTGTCTGTCATTAAGCTAGTCTGCTCTGGAGACAGTTTTTCAGGTGTCTGTTGAGTGTCGTTTAACCTGACTTCTTTTTTTTTTTTAGAATTTCACGCCATACCATGTCAAGAGAAGAGAAATACCAAAGCGTTACAAAACATAGATGATTACAGTTAAAGGCTCGTTTTGGTTTAGCAAAAGAATTGTCCACTTGAAGCCCCTCCGAAATTGGGCCGTCCCAGTTAGAGTTTAAAATGTGATTTTGGAGACATTAGTTTTGTCTGCACTTGGTTTCGTTGCCATGTGTCTCAGAGCATGATCTGTCTTGGTCTTTCACAGCCTATAGCAGAGGAACCCTTCAATTTTGAGACAGAGCTGGACGATCTTCCCAAGGAGCAGCTGAAGGAGCTCATCTTTGAAGAAGCCAAGAAGTTTGCAATGATGTCCAGAGTGGACAGCCAGGGTAGCGAAATGAGTTAGGGTGTCCGACTACGGCGCAGGAAGAGCAAGGAGTAAATGTTAAAGTAATGGGAAGGTATATACAAGGGCTTAAATGGCGATGCGCCAGCTGGATTGATTGGATGTTCACAGACAACCCTGCAGTTGTCGAGGGGGGGGGACAGAATGCGATGGTTAGTATTCCCCCCGAAGCTCTTCTTGTCTTGGACTGGTCCAGACCAGTGTCACGTCGTTCGTCTTGCCAGTGCCAGCTTCGTCAGATGCTCGTTGAATTCTTCTTGGAACTCATCCATTCATATATATGCGCGTATACTTTGTCTTTTTATTGTCCCATCCTTGGAATATTAATGTGCACAGGTGTCGTATCTGGCTTTGGCTGTCAGCAGGTCCATTCTGAAAAGGATTCAAGCGTAATTGGTAAACTTGTAAATATTTTTGAACTTAAATAATGTGCACCGATAGATGTGGGAACATAGTTTTTTTAATTAGGGAAGGTTTTCGTGTCAGTAAGTTCTCACACTCTTAGAGAAACGAATTCAAAAATGAAGTTGCTTGAGTTTTTTTTTAATTTGTTCACAGAATTAAGAAAAAAAAGGTTGTGAAGAGTGCTCATCCTGAATGTAGTAAACCAAGTAATGTGATGGTATCACTGCTATTCTTAGATTCACTCTCCAGAAATCCTGACCCAAATCGGTCAACTTTCTATATAATCTGTGAAATATTTTTTTTTTTGGCTGCTTTTCAATTACATGGCATGTTATATTCACATTGACAGAAATATGCATCCGTAGGGGATCCCTTGGCAAAAACCGGTCAGCTGGAGAATTGTACACACCTACCTGGTTCAGCCTAGTTCTGCCACTGTCCCTTCTGATTGTATGCATAAAAACTGTCGAACTGGGCCTCTACAAAATTGAAAGGCGCTGGGGATGGATTTCAGCACAAAACCTACCCCTGCATCTGCTAGGGAGCCCAAACCCCAAACTTGAGTTTTTCCGGTGTGGCCTCTTCACACTGTCTGCACAAAGTGTGCGCATGGTAAAACTGGCAGGCAATGGCACATTCAACCTGTGGGGAGCCCCATGTACAAACTGGCTGGCGCCGGTTTTGGCCGGTTGGCCGGTTGGCGCCGGTTTTTGCCGGTTGGCTCTGGCTTATTTCATTGCCCGCTTTGACTGTGAACAAATTAGACAGCATCGGTGCTCAGGCTGCCCAGAACCGGCTTTTTCCAGTTTGGACCAGTATTTGTTAACCAGTAGAAGCCACACTATGCTGTATTACCTGCTGTGGTGAAATCCACAAATCCATACACAAGTTGGAGTGCTAGGAACCTTTCAGGCTGTCAGGTGATCTGACTTGTAATTTGACTTTTTTTTACATTTGTATGTTTTTGATTATTTGTTGGTGGAAGGGGATGGTTTATTTACTTTAATGGAATTGCTGCTATTTGCATAGGAATAACTTAAGAGATTTTTGCGGTACAAGCAGCTGTCTAAGTACTCTTCATGCTCCAGTTGCAGGATTCGATTTTGATCCTTTTGGTGTTGAAAAACAAAAGTATCACTGAGATTAACTTCCATGATCTGGCCAGACCTCCAGAAGTTGTTGGATTTGTTTTGTAACGAGAGAAAAAAAAAAACAAACGAAGCATCGTGTCAAGTTCGCCCATTATGAACCGATGCTGACGGTTTGCGCATTCGGCTGTGGTAGCAGGTGGAACTGGAGTTGGGCACTTCTTGAGTACTTCTGCCATAACAGATGAATGGCATAGATCCTGGCTTGATAGAAAGCCCCAGCTGCTGCTGTTCTCTCTACTTCTCTCTCTCTCTATGCTGTAGAACTTCGGGTAAATTTTTTTGCCTCAATGCCTATTTTTCTACTGTTCAAAGCATGATTGACCAAATTAAATTAAAAAATCAGCCTGTATATAGACAAAAAAGAGAGAAGTATATAGAGGGGGAAAACCAATCGTGATAGTGTTTATACTATATATTTACATTATACATGTAAATGTGACTTACTGGTATTTTGTGTTTCATAGTGTTTAAGTACTAATTCTTATCGGATCATGAGTGCAAATTACCTAGAAAAATAAAGAGAGAGCTTATGGATTGTGGAAGAGATGAATGTGGTCCTTTATGAACAGAGAGATTGCACTGGAACAGAACAGTGAGCATGAGTAGATTTAAGGACGTCAGAAAGACGAAGAAATTGGGAGTTTGACATTATTCAACTGTGTCCGATCAGTGTATGACTTAATTAATTGGAGGTTGTTGGTGATTTCCACGCATATATCTGGATTGATGTAAAGTGGAATGGAACTGTTGGTGTATTGTTGAGCCACTTTTTGTAACTTGTCTTCTTTAGTGGTCATGCCAGTCAGGAGGGTGTATGCCAGTACGCACAGGGCCCTATTTCACGAAGCTACTATGCACTTGTGATGTGCTAAGCAGAGAAGATATCTGCTCAGCAAAGCCGAGGTACCAGCCTGAGTTTTCCCCTGTTGGGTGTAGCCTGTGACCGAGTCCGGTCTTGTGTTTCCATTTTCGCTGAGTGTGTAAATTTCCCAACTAATACTGTCTGCTCTGTGGGTGCATGAAAATCTGGCCTGGGATGGTCTGTCTCTTCTTTCTTGACTTACTGGGCTCATCCTCCTTGAGATGAATGGCACTTTTCTTGCCGTTACCTGGCACCAGTCCATTTGTATTGGCTTGATGTGCGATTCAGTAATGCTGTAAACATTCAATAAGTGTTCCTTTTTTTAAAAGTCTTGTTCCAGCCCCGTTTCCAGCAGGTAAGGCAGTCTGACAGCCTATTAGTCAGAATGTCGGTCCTGGTTGTAGGGCACTTGGCACCTTGGATGAAATGTTTCACCTGGCATGCTTTAAGACGATCCATGGCATGGCACATTGCACTTTATATTAAGACAGGGGTCCAGGTGCTAGACCGACCTCAAGTTTTTGAGCTTGGAAAGTTCAGCCCTAAGCCCTTTTGAAACCGTTTTTAGATGCATTGTCAAGGAATTTCAACACCGTTTTGTTTTGTAAAATACACACCAGATAAGAAAATGTAACTAAGTCCTTGCTAAGGAATTTCACTTTTTAAATGTGGCAACGTGCCAAAGAAGGGCCAAGTACTGTGAAATACTTCAAGAACAATATCGTCTGCTGTGAAAAATATCTTAACGTAAAACGGCCGAGGGACAACAATTTTTACGTACAATATTTTTGTTTTGGTCATCGTTCCAATGCTTTGTCGGAAGATAGTTGGTGTACACCAACCTAATGAGCCAATTTGAATTCTAGCATGTCTTTAGATCCAGGGATGCTCCTGCTCTGTGCGTGGCCCGTTTGTTGGCTGTGGGGCTCCTTCTTTTAGTCATTGTGGTTACTGTAGAGAAGCAACTATTGGAGCTTCTTAAACATTTGCATTATGGATAGAATTGTTATGACTTAAGAGCTCAAACTGAACAAACAAATTTTAAGTAGAACGTGTTTCCTACTCATGATTAGTAATCTGCCCCTTCCCCCCATGAAATGAATTTAATTTGATGACCATGCTTACACTATGCATCCCAAAATACCCCTCCTTCCCCCAAAATGGGTAACCCTGTGTGCCCCTGACAGACCCTAGTCACGCCATCCATTCATGAGGGGAAGAAAACCCATCCAGTACCCGCTCAAATCAGAGGGTACTTTTGGTGTTATGCACAGAGCAGGGTACAACCTGTATTGTGTTACATGTGAGTTAGCCCCAGTTTTCCATGTGATGTGCGTTTCCCATTGAAACACTACCCCTGGCTGTGAAAAGCGTCTTCAAAAGAAATCATTGCTAAAATTAATTGCTTCTTTTGTCCGGTCAACTTGTGCGGTAAAAAGTGATCACGTAATATTTTGTTCTGTTTTGCATAAGTCTTCTTTGATTTCCAGTGTGAATACTATTTCTGCTTTACCAAGCTAAGAGACTTACAATTGAGACAATTTTTTTTTGGAGCAGAAAACTTTTAGAATAATTAGGCACAAGTTTATTTTCAGTGTACACTGTCGGGCCACATTTTATCAATTTATGACTTACTGTGTGGCTGTATAAAGAAAGTGTAGAACTTTGCTTCATGTAATGTTTATGGGATTTCCCTAAAAGAAAAAAAAAACTAACACAGTATGAATAAATTGAAATATTTTGATGCAAAGAATCATGTTTAAACATCTTTTATGGGAATTAATTAAAACTAGTTTTTTTTACCCAAATCTACAGTACCTATGTTGGTAGAATCGTGTGATACAGATTACTTCTAAGGTCTATATATTCAAACAAAAAAGCGAAATATTTTTAATGTAGAGCAGAACAAAAAGAAGAGATTATTTTCTACAGAGTAAGCCTAAGACTGGCCATTGTATCTTGTGTTATTGTACATTGTACACATGTACATTGTAGACTGCTATGTTAGTGAGTTAGTATATCCAACAACTTTTGAACTGTCTCCCTATGTGCTTAATAATAAAGAAGCTTTGGTTGTATTTAAACAAACTCTCTACATAAAATGAGTTATTCTGGTGCCTTTGATTATTTCTAGTTTCAAACTGGGAATGATAATGCATGTTTTTATATTCTGCACAAACTTCTGACCTCATATTTCTCAATGCTGCCATAGTTTTTTTGAGTTTTTGAACAGTAGCTAGGATTTTACTAGTGGGGGGCACAGGGGGGACCAGCATCTTATGGGGGGGATCAGCTTCAGTGGTGTGGTTTTTGGGGCAAGCTTTTGTTAGCCTTGTTCAATATCCATTCATCTGGTTTTTTTGGGGGGGGGCCGGTCCCCGTGACTAAGCCACTATTTTTGAATAGTTCAGATCAGACCGTGATGAGAGCGCCATACTGAGCTATTTTTGTAGACTTGGGGTATATAAAAATCCAGAAGTTGTACTGTGTGATACCTGAAAAAAGCAAAACTAGTACCTTTGGAGAAAACAGTTACGGTGCTACTGTCCGAGGATGGTCCATGTATTATTTTCGTCAGTTCTTGGACAGATATCTTACCAGCACAACATACATGAATCGCGCGATTGAATTTTCTGGTCATTATTAAGGCCGCCGGAGCTATGGGGGTGTTTCCGTGTAAGAGTGGAAGGATTTGAGGAGCAGAAGTGACTAGTGCTCAGTTGACACAGTGACAACAGGAACGAGGGTTCCTATGTTCGGATTCATATTTGTCTTTCGAAGATTTGAATCGTGAATGTATGGGAACAGAAAGCCACCAAGCATGTGAATCCGGAGTTTGGAAAATTGCTACTGCAGTGAAAACATGGACATCAGGAAGGACGCCCTCTGCAGGCCGAAGTATTATGCAGTGCACCAGCTGGCAAAAATTTGTCATCGTGAAACAGCAAGTTTTTAGTCCTACATGATACATGATGATGTAGTTGGCTTAGTCACATTCAATTAATATTAACAAATTCATCACAGTAAAAGAAGCATTATCTAGGAGGAAAGTCTGTGATCCAGGAATGTTGGAGTCTTGACTCGCACCAAGGAAGGTAAGGTTATCAATCGTGTCTAAACATGACATGATCATGGACGACCGTAACGGTGAAGACAATCCCCAGAGGAACTTCCTCCTTGCCATCTTGATGGTCCCGGTTACTCCTAGGACTTCGGGGTCCCATGTCGTGGGAGCGGGGCGGACGATGGACCCCACAGTTCTGGGGATGGGTCCAGGCATTGTTGCATGACATTGACAGTGTGCTCAGCACCTTTGTGAAGTTAGTTCCTTATTCCACATTTTGACGTTCGACATTCAGTATTGAACAAGTGACTGTTCGATATTCCAACATTCATGACATTGAAGAAATCGTGTAACACTTAAACCTAAGTAAACTTTTGACTTTCGGGGTGCACACCCCCAGAAATGATGGAGTGCAAAAGGGACCAAATAAAAAAACTGTGCCACTATCAATGCACATGTGTCCATTTACATGTACCTTATTTATGCTGTACTTGCCTTTTCACAGTGATGTATTCACACTGCTCTCTCACACAGAGGCAACCCTGGGCATCCTTTTTTTGGGTCAATCAAGCCCTGGAATGTAGATAGCACGGTCTGTTTTTTTGTCCCAAATGCACTCTATGACTTTTAAGGGTGTGCATCCTGAATGTTAAACTGTTACTTATTCAGTGTTGAATATCAATCCGTTACGTCGAACGTGAAACAAGGACTAAGTAACTAACTTCGCATTGCCGTGCTTAGCTCAGCCTCATTGTCCTGGTGCATCAAAGTGAAGCCAAGTTTTTTTCCGTGGTACGACTTGTACTTCCACTAGTCACACGTCTTCTGTCATGTTTTTAAAATGGCTCTTTTCATGCCTTTTGTCTTACTGCTTGTTTATGGGACCGATTCTGGCATGTCTGGAGCTTTTTTTATCATCATTTTTAGAGTTTTGACATACATATGTTTGATTCTTCCCTCTATGGTTTGATCCAGCCCTTTCTTGTGTCATTTCATGTTACCAGCTGACATGTACATCTAGCATGTTGAACTTTACAGTTGTTAACCACAAATCACAGCACTTCCTTCATTTTCACATTTTGAAGTCTCTAAAAAGTGACTGAACTTTGACCTGAAGGATATATCTGGGTAAAGTTTCTTTCCCTCTAACTTCTAAAGGGAAGTTATGTGCATTTACATGTACTTACCTTTATGTGAAATATGAAGCCTGTTGAAAGATGCTCTCACATGTAATTTTCTTGCCCCGACTTCATGCTCAAAACAAGTTCGGAGCCCGTTTTTGTGGCTGTTTTGGGAAAATATTATCATGTTTCTCTTGGTTGAAAAACAAGTCACAATGTTAGTTGACCTACACATAGTCCTTCATGTTGAAAGGTCAATAGATCACACAATAAGTAAAAAATGGCCACTTTGGTTGGTAGCAAAGTCATGTTTAAAATCTACAGTGCTGGCTGAACCTGACAGCACTCATCAAACCGACTCAGAGATGATAACTCCAGCTTAGCTGGAAGGGCATGCTTACAGTCCTAAAAAAAAAAGTGAGGCGTCAAACTACACCGTGCAACTCTCCTACACGTACACTCCGTGCTATTCTCTTCTGCAGTTAGCCTACCTGTAACACAGTCACTCTACACACAATATCGCTTACACCATCGATCATGTCGGCAGCACTGATTGTGCCGCTTTCTCTCATCGGCGGCTACGCTGCGCTGTCGGTCTTGCTGTTACGCTTCCCCCTGCTGATTCACAGAAAGAAACAGACCAAGATCAACGCCAGGCTAATTGCCCACAGAGGGGGTAAGTTGACGTGCCTTAGCTGCAGTATTGAGGAGACGTGATACCCTTCAGTGTCCACATTTTGCTTGAGAACTCTAAGAACTGGGCCATCTGTGCCAATATGTTCCTGCAGAAGCTGTTAAAATCCTAACATCGGAGCTTGCTCTCTAGTTTCTACTTGATTTTGCTATTTTGGGAAAAACAATCTTATATCTAAAATCCTTGCCGTTTTTCTTCCTCTTGCAATCAATTTTTTTATCAGTCCTGTTGATTGATTTTATCAATCTGTCTCCAACTGTAACTACAGATTTCTCTGCAAAATGTGTTAAGATAAAAATTGTCTCTGTGTTCTTTGTTAAATTGCAGGTGCCGGTGAAAACTTGGAGAACACACTCACAGCATACAGACAGTAAGTTTCCTCCACTCTCAAGCAATTGACTGTTGAACAAGTCACCCATCCACACATCATGTACACATGCATGCGGTGTCCTCACTGTGGACCTCTGTTATTCATTGGTCCACATGGGGACACCATAGCACGCCTTTTCACACTAGCGTGAATGGCACGCAAATTCATTTTCATCTGAATGTGTACAAACCCATTATGCTTTGCAGAGAAGCCTTCTAAGCAAATGCACTCCACCATGTCCCTCTGTTCAATTGAAGGAGGAGGGTGTTTTATGTAGAGAATATGTTGCATTTCCCAATGCCTAGATCTCGCATGCCCCAGTACTCACTTTGTTGAGAATTGTACCGTATGAATGATTAAAGGCCAGTCCATTATTTTCAGCTACCCAAAAAGTAACTGACAGAATAATTGTTGGAAGCATATTATGTTTAGCTAATTATGGGACAAAACTCCTTGTAAAATGATTCTTTCTGGTAAGGTCTCATTTTGGAGAAAGCAGTGAAAGAAGGCCATTACCAGCGATGTGTATAAGGATTCAATTTTGGAAATTGCCGGTAGTCGTTCATTCTTAATTTGGCAAACTGCTATACGTTGACATGACGCACAAGTGCGTGCAGTTACTATAATTCATCGTTTCAGTGTGCGACATGGCGTAGCTGCTGTTGGTCGAATTCGAGCGTGTCCCAAACGCTGAATTGGGGCACAATTCAAAACACCTGGCAGCTTTTGATTGAAATGGAGATCCCAGACTATTATTTTTCTCAAAATTTACAGCATTCACTGAGCTGAAACGTCATCAGGTTAGCTGTTTGGCACCCTTCCTTTGATTTTGAGCACTTTGGTTGCCTCAAACAAACATAAGGCACAAAAAACAAAGGATGTACTCTAGCTTTAAATCCTACCATCGTTTCCATTTGTCCACAGTGCCTTGAATTCGGGAATGGACATGCTGGAGATAGACTGTCAGATCACTAGAGATAAGAAGATCGTGGTGTCTCATGATAATCACCTGGAGAGGGTGACAGGTGTGGACAGATTCATCAGTGACTTGGACTATGAGGTGAGTTTAAAATGAGTCAAGTTAACACCCTTGCACCTGAGGCATGGTCACTTTTTCAAAATTTGTATGGCTGACCTGCTGTGGATTTTGACCTTTGCTGTGGTATTTAACTGTGGTTTCCTTCGTCAAGAAAAATTGTAAGTCTGAAGAGCAGTATCTTTTACCCCATCGGAAATGGAACTGTCTTTCCAGTGCCATTTGTCTCAAAGTATGCTCATTTCCACTTATAGTTCAGCTTTTCAATCTTTTTTTTGTCTTCAGGATTTACCGCTCATCTGTCAATCTATACCTGTCCATTTCTGCAAAGGTTAGTAACTAGTGAGAGAAAAAAATCCATACTTAATACTCAAGAATTAATCATTGTAACTGCCAGAAATTTTTGAGGGATCTTCCAGAATCCTGCACACTGTGTGCACATCAACTTTCAATGGGTATTAAACCCCCAGGCATAAACTAACTATTGCTGGGCGCCACCTTCTTAAATTGTGGGTGATATGCCTGATTGATGGCAACAGCTGAACAACATCCTCTGTCTGCTCTTTGGAGAAGTCCTCCCTTACAAAGAAAAGACAGGCTGTTGGTGATTGTTGTGACTAAGCACCCGGCCCACACAGACCGTACATTCCAACGGAAAGTGGTCACTCGTGCTCAGCTCGGCTCGTGCCAAGTGCAGAAACCTTGCATGCAGCATGTCCCCGGCAAATGAACATTGTTTCTATAAAAACACATGATCGCTTAATTGCTCGCACTTGGAGCTCACAGAGTTGACCGTCTTTGAACTTTGACCATTCTCCACTTTCTACCAAAGGCCAGACTGTTTGTGGGAGCGAGACGGACAGGAGAATCCCCCTCTTGCGGGAGGTCTTTGAGACGTTCCCCAACATCCCCATCAACCTTGACATCAAGAGAGACGATGATGAGCTCATACACAAGGTGAGATCCTTGGCACCAGTCAGGACAGTACCCAAACATATGCCAGAGGGTGTGGTCTGCTAGACTCTGAAAAACCTGGAAGACCAAGGATTAAGCACTTGCTGCCGGGGAGCCTGGTTTCGGACACGTATTCTTTATATACACAGCTGGGGTGTCAGAAATCAGACAAAGGGAACTGGGCCTTGTAACAAAAGAGTGTACTCGCAACAAAAGACCAGGATGCTGGGAATTACCAACATTTTTTCTCTGTCAGTTGCGGAGATAATCCAGCATTGTCTTGAAACAGTATACCACTGTTTGTGGCATTCAGTGCGAGCGGATTACAACCGGGGGCAAAAGCGCTCCACCACCGCAGCGATGAGCCACACAGCACCGCTGCATGCTAATATAGCCCCTTGTGAAAAGAGGTCAGCACCGCACTGTGCCAGTGTCGCGAACAAAAGAAAATAACATAACACCGCACAGTCTGGGCTCTTTATAAAAGGCAGCATGACTGGCTGAAATACTCAAGCGTCAACAGATGTTCTCTGTCAGATTAGAGTAGCCACCAGACAGTCATTCCTGTGGATGTAAGTGTCCAGCAAATGAAGATATAAATTTTTTAACAATTTTGAAAACAGAAACAAATTAAAAATACACCAGCCCAGCAGAATCAACATTTGTAAATGCCCCTGGCATGTCAAACCTCCTCATTTCCAAACCAAATTGTTACTGGACCCCTCCACAAGTCTGACGAACATCGTTTTTTTACGATTGGTTTGTTTTACCGTGCTCTTTGTTTTGATGTCTTACTCAGTGTAATGATAAAAAAAAGGGTGAGAACTATCGAGGTTTCCTCAGTGGATTTCCTTTGTGCAAGGGGGCATTCTTAGGAGTGGTTTTTGCAACTTGGGTCTCATTTTTTGGTTGGGTCACAACTCTGTGGTGCTGCTGCAGCATCAAAACATTTGCTTTTCACAAAAAATACAAGTCAGCGGTTGCCAATAAACAATGGGTATTTTCTTGGCTGCTTTTCTAAAAAACCCACTTGTTTAAGTGACAATTGATTTGATTGTTTCTAGGGTCACACTAGGTCAGTCCATTGGTTAAATTGATTTTATTTGTTCACTGTGAAAGTTTCTTTTCCCCATATCTTTGTTTTATTGTTTTTAATTTGAACAGGTCCTTGATATGATCATAGAGTACAAGCGAGAAGATATAACTGTTGTGGGTAACTTTGCTGAATCTGTTGTCCAAAAATGCCACCAACGAGTAAGTGTTTCATAAGTCGCATGTCAGCTCAAACAAATTAATCTCTTTTGTTTGAGCGGTGTGTCGTAAAATCAGTCTCATATATTTTGCTTTGAAGTTGGAAAATTTTGAAGTCGTGAGATAATCTGAGGCCACAATGAGTGTGGAGTCTCTCTCATCAAGACAAAAACCTCTCTGGTAAAATCTCAAGTCATTCTTGTCAAGTCAGACTGGAAACATCTCAACTCCCTCTTGTCAAGTCTTAAGTCACTGTGGTCAAGTCTCAAGTCACTCTTGTCAAGTCTCAAGTCACTCTTGTCAAGTCTCAAGTCACTGTGGTCAAGTCTCAAGTCACTCTGGTCAAGTCTCAAGTCACTGTGGTCAAGCCTCAAGTCACTCTGGTCAAGTCTCGGGTCACTCTGGTCAAGTCTCAGGCCACTCTGGTCAAGTCTCAAGTCACTCTGGTCAAGTCTCAGGCCACTCTGGTCAAGTCTCAAGTCACTCTGGTCAAGTCTCAAGTCACTGTGGTCAAGCCTCAAGTCACTCTGGTCAAGTCTCGGGTCACTCTGGTCAAGTCTCAGGCCACTCTGGTCAAGTCTCAGGTCACTTTGGTCAAGTCTCACTTTTGGAGCTTCAAAAATTTATGCAGGCACAGATCTTAGCAGCAAATCAAAACTTGAGTAATTCCAATTACTGAATGCATTTGTTACTTTCAAAGGCATCGTCTCTTGACCTTTAACCTTTGACCCCATCCCCAGGATCACGTCCACCCCCTTCTTTTCAGCATCTCAGGCATCGGCAAGCTCATCCTCCTTTTCTACTCGGGACTCCTCCCCTTCTGGCCTCTCAAAGAAGGCTTTGTTGAAATCCCTTTTGATTCGGTCGTCACAACCAATTTGTAAGATTCGTTTCGGTGTGGAAGGTGGATTTTTGCTGCACATTATGTACAGTGGAAATCCATAAAGAACCTCACCTCGTCCGTCCATGGTTGCTAGGTTGATCATGTATTGCATGATGGGATACATTACTGGTTTGCATGCATGTCAAATTACTCACTTGTGGTACTCATTTTTGTCGTGCAGATTTATGGCACAAGGTTTTTATTTTTCAAAAGAAATTGAGACAAGGAGTAAGTTTGAGTGTCAAGCGATCGGTTGTCAAGTCCCACATTTTCATTGTGCATACCGTTTTCCCCTTTTCCCCCAATTAAACGCACTCGGGAACGATTCGCACAGGCACCGCAAATCCCAACCATTATGAGCACCAGGACATCAGTTAAGATGCTGGTGGCCTTCTACCTAGGCATCCTGCCCTTCCTCGATTTCGAGGAGGAATTCCTCGAGATCCCCATGGGAAGAGAGTTGATCAAGAACTTGTAAGATGCTGGCTTTGGTGATCCGTAGATATGTCATTTGTGGTCTGTTGTCTTCGCTGTGCTCTGCGTTTCTTCTCACGGTGTTGGGGCTGCATTTAATGCATTTACAACGGGTTAACTTGTGTGTCAAGTGTAGTAGGATTCCAAATTTCTAAATTCTGTCTAGTTTAATGGGGGCAAGCGAAGGGGAATGCTGAAGCACCAGAAAACATTGAAAGAAGTGAGGGATCGCAGGATTGTGGTGGAAGGGGAGAGGACGTCGTTAAATTGCTGTCACGTATAAAGCAGTGTTTCTGCATTGCTGATATATTATTTACCATGGTTTGAATGCTCCAAAACCTGATGGATAGAACCAGGGTCAGAAGGAGGGATTTCTTTCTTTTTTTATAAAAAGGGCTTATGGCATTGGCTGGAAATGAATGGAATCCCTTATTCTGACCATTTTTGACTGCATGGGAGGAAAAATGAGTTAAGGTATTGAGAAGTGCTTCAAGATTTCAGTCCACTCATAAGCCCGATTTCCAATTAGAAGGTAGAGCAGGTTTCGTTTAGAGTTCAGTCTACTTAGCTACTGGTCTCACCGGCAGATGGCAGATATGGCTTCATGCGGTGAGAGTTAAAAACCGTGTCAGAAATGGGCTTTATAGGGGCTACAGCTGCGTCTTTACTTGTAATTAGCAAAGACCTAGACCTAGCCTCAGACGTAAGCTTTGGATGCAGCCTCAGCCAACTATCCACCTGCCGACTTGTGGCGGGTCCTCTCTCTCTCTCTGCTTTTCTTGCCTTGCACATACCCCCTTTTCCAAGATCTCTCTCTTGCACAGGTCTACATGTGCATGCTCGGTAGGTTTAACTTCATTCGTCCATTGATGTCAGGAAGTGTCCCCGCGTCGGGACGTCCATGACTTTGCGCATATATTGTACACTAGTCTGGTGGTAGCGGGGCTATTTCCCAAGTGTGCGGCTTAACACACGGAGCCCATCAAATAGACATGATATTACAGGGCTCCAGGACTTGCACCATCTGACACCGATATAAACAGAAACAGTGGAGAGGTCATAGAAGGGCTAGGCTTTGCTTTTCTCTGTCATTCTCCAGTTTATGGGGATTTCTTGTCTGGTGAGACTTAAACATGCTAACGCAGACTACAAAAGACGGATCTTTTAGAAGAAAGTTTTTACACTTCTTGCCGTATACTAGGATGATGCCAACCAGCTGCCACCCAAACTGTTTCTTGATCTCTGTGTGTTAAGTCTCAATTTGACATTGCAAACCAAACCTTATCCTAACTCATGCATGTACATCTTCATCTTCTCAACCATTATTAATATATATTTTCAATAACCCTCACATAAATACTCACAAAATCATTTTCTTGTTAGTTTTTTAACCTCATAGTTAGACTGACTCTTTTTCCATGATGCCACATTTGTTTGTGTCAGTTTTTTCTGACTTCATTTACTGATTTTTCTCTTCATTTTGCCTGACGTTGAATTGTTTGAAAATTAACCTTTCTGTGTTTTTTGTCCAAAATGGTAGAAGTTCCTAACATAATTTTTACCATTTTCTTGCCTGAGTTCTAAATCACATTGTGGTTTGTCACTCTAAGTTAAAATACTAAACTTTGAATTGGAAGTGACTGCTGAGGTCATGGAGGCATGTTTTATGTACAGGGGGGTTCTCGATGTTTGTATTTTTATACAAAGCAATTTAGCCTACATACAAGGTGCAGATGATTATTTGACTACATAGAGTACCGAAGTGTGACGTCACTGTAAACCAGAAAGTGCAATGCAAATGAATGAAGTATGTGTGCGTGTTGGTTCTAGCGCTGGTTCATATGCTCATGCCTTTTACACACTAATTGTGCGCGTGACGTATTCACTTCGGTACTCTATGAAGTGTTGCATTCTTAACCCTAGTTTTCTGAACTGCTAAAAGATCTTAAAATCACAAACAAAACGTACATGCCAGTAGGGCATTTCTAGAATCTTGTGGATTAAAACGAACAGGTTACACTGTGGGGCATAGTTCATTTGATACAAGATTTCATCAGGAAACAAGGTAAGATTAGTATTTCCTCTTTTTCCCTTTCGAAACCGGCAGTGATGTTCAGAAGCGTTGGCAGAAGGCCCTGTTATGGGTGCTGGACTTCCTGCTTATCAACAGGGTTTTGTTTGGACATCTGCAGAGACGGGGAATCAAGGTTGGTGCCTAGCCTCGGAGATCCGAGTCAAACACACCAGTTTCTGTGTTTCAACCACATTTACGTTTAATCAATATGAAGCATGCTGCGTACCGTTCAAGAGCAATACATGTGTGAGCAAACTTGGTCCTGTAAGCTCAACCGTCCACGGACTCACTCACACACACTGAATGTGTTCGAGCAAGCATGGTTGCGGGGTTTTGTTCTCAAATGACCATGCTTTTTCTCTTTTTTTGAAATACCCCACTGGCTCGTTCTTGTCAAAGACTCTGAGGATGGAGCTGTGACAGTCTGTTTGGATTGACCCAACTTACTTTCAAATTGTTGGCAGAGACTGGGAGTTTTTACCTGTTGCAAATGCAAACAAAGTGGATATTACATGTTCAACATGGTTGATTAGATCCCACAAAATGAGTCTTAAGGCCTCTTTAGTAAATGGTTTTGGTTTGCAAACAGAGTTCCTCATAATGACTTCTTGTATCTTGACGAAAGAGACATTATGTGAGTAAAAATGTTGAGGTTTCCAAATGATTTACTCGTGTGTTATGCAAGGCAGTTATTGCAAAAAGTGATTCTGGCAACTTCCAAGTCATTTTGTGAGATCGGGTCACGTAGATATTTGCTAACAGGTTGGTATAATCTCCAGAAAATCATCCCCGGTGTGTTCTATTTGATGACAGGTTTACGTGTGGGTTCTCAACAATGAGGCGCAGTGGGACAGGGCCATGAGTAAAAGGGTGGACGGAATCATGACGGACTACCCTGCCAAGCTGGCCGAATACATGCGCAGGAGGGGTTACTGGCAGGACGGACGGGCTGGGCTGAGGAACGAGAACTACAACACATTTGATAATGGAGTGGGCCAGTAGACCGGAACGGGACAACAAAATTGAGGGACCACTGGTCGATTTCTCCTGGTAACCTGTGCACAAAATGTATTGTGGGTACCTGGCAAAAGTTGCCCAGGGTTAACTAATAGTCCTGTACTGGTGCTCAAGGTGCAACGTTATTACTATACCTGCTTGACTGGGCTCATAAACATTCCAAAAAAACCACCTCGGCACCCTGGGGAGTACATGG